ACGTTTGTTTTTTTTTTTTTTTTTCAGGCAAGTTTGTTCAGAGCGATTTTGTTTCTAAACAAGGCATTCCAAAATTATTGTTATATTGCAGACTTTGAAATGCTTTAAGACCATTTTTTTCTGTGTTTTAAACGTTTTTTCATGTTTGAAATTTTAAAAACAATTTGCTTTAAAAAACGTAGCAAAAATGCATCTCCAATTTGCATCTCAAGTCTGGTGTGGCCTGCATGTGTCAAGCCAGGACAGCTGAAAAACACAGACCAAGTTCTTTGAAGTTGCAAACAGGAAAAAATGCACGTCAAGCCAAACAGTAGAAAAGAAAGATGACTGAGTTTGAAGTCTTGGCTGGATTCGACGCGACGCAAACGCTTGACTCAGAGCATTCACTCGAGGCATTCACGTGGAAGCTCGAAGAAGATGCAACTCAGCTTGGGCGATTTGCTTTAACTGGGGGCAATCACGCTTCCAGTGGCCGGATTGACCACAGTGCAGGCATGCGTCACGACCCTTGCCTTGGCCTGGCCCACCTGATGCACCCAGCTCACCCCCATTTTTCTTACTCTCTGAACTCCCTTAGGCCCTCCTTAACCCTTTTGGTGGGCTTGGAAGAGTTCTTGCCTGAAATGCATCAACACGCTCCTTCTACAAACTGGATGCTTGCCGGCAGTTCTTAGCTTTGATACTTGTGTTCCAACTTCAAGTAGGCGCATTTGCTCCAGCCAAATTTGGGCAGGCGCCAATAAAGTTACAAAGTGTCAATGAGAGTTTAGAAGAGTAAATAATATTGTTCACCCGCGAGAAGGGTTGGTTGTGCACTGGGTCCTTTTTGTCTTTCCTGTTTATTCCGCAGGTTTTGCTAGCGCTAAACAGGCCAAGTGGAAATTTGGCCGGGCTTCGGCACTTAGGAAAGACCCCCAATGGGCCTACTTCACCCACAACCCACACGCTGGGCTGACTTCTGCAAGTCACACTCAACACTCTTCCTCTTCTGCAGCTACCTTCTCTTAAAGCTCCACTAACTCAACGTAGGTGTCTTCTCCAACCAACTTAAAGCTTGATGTACACTCGATGACAGTAGCTCTTAGCTTACAAAGAGTTGCAGGTCGATTCCAGTACACAGCAAAGCTACAGCTTTCTTGTGGTCTCAAATTGTGTTGTTGCCATCAAACTGGGTGTTTGAAGGTAGCATTGCCCCATTTGGCGCTCCATGTAAGTCCAGTGTCCCCTGTTGGCTTACATACGCAAATGTTTTCTTCTCCATGTTTTGAAAGAGCAGAAGAGACGACGTGTGCAGCTGCAGCCAGACGTTTTTTCTTTCCGTCCACTTGTTCACGTTTGTCTGCCACCATCCAACGTGTGGAAATAACTCTCTTCTTTGGATCAAGTCTTCTTCGGCCACCACGCAGCACGAGAAGGCCATGCGTGCAACGCTGAGATGCCTGAAGACCGTCGTCGAAGTCGAAGTCGAAGGACGAGCTGCGACTTTGTGCGTTTGTTAATGCGTCTTGGGATCGGAGCGGTCCGTTTCGATCGATGTCAGGCGGATGCATTATGTTGGGCAAGGCGTGCATAAAGGCTTTGTCTTCCGCCAAGAGTGAATTATACGCTTTGGTCGAGGGATCTTAAGCAAATGGTTTGGCTTGGCAACATCCCTTCAAGCATTATGCTCACGCAGCCGTCCGTCGTGCACCCAAAGGACGGTTCTAGCACAATGTGGTGACATGGATTGTTAACTCGACGTGGCTTTCAACTGCTTTCAAGGTGAGGTGACTCAATTTCCATCATTCATCGTGACTACATTGTTCTGCCGTCCATTCCAGAGCCTGCACTCGAAATATGCAATGATCTCTAGCAAAGAAAGCTTTATTTGAATTGGCCACCAAGCGAAGTTCGCAATTGCTTCGCACTTATTGCTTTAAATAAGAAGCTGCGTCGCAGGTTGATGCAACTCGATAAGTCTGAGTGCTGGTAACAAGGTTCCATCAGAAGTTGAATGACGTCACCGCCGCAGCTCTCAGCCATGGTCTTACCGCCGCCATTCCAGTATTGACAGATACGCCGGCTAAAAAGTTAAATTTCAACCTCGATTTGCAGACAATCCATCCGTTGCGTGTCCTGCAATTCAGCTGCAAGTCTAACGCGCGCGCTCTTGGGGAAGGGGAAAGTTGCCCGATTTGGTTCGTCTTGGGACAAGAATGCTCTTTTGTGCCTTCGTTGCAGAAGATTCATGTTCCTGCCGGCTCATGGTGCACGCCATTTGCAGTGGAATTGCAAGGAGATTGTTGTCGAGAAAGGCTGCATTCATGAAGAAAAGAGGTTTAGGAACATGACCAATCTTTTCAATTGGTCAGGCGCCAGGTTGATGGAAAGGGTCATTGCGCTCCAAAACGTACGACGGGTCCGATGTGAGACAAGCAAGACTGCAGGTTCATAAAGGCAGGGCGCAACGAAAGAGAAAAGGAGAGAGAACCGCAAGCACAAAGTCCAACAACGAAGATAGGAGTAAATCGGACAAAAAGCAAAGAGGCAACAGTGGACTCCAAACCACATCATTGAGAACAGATATTCCCGCTTTGTCCGAGTTGACGCTGTCGGTTGCTGGTGGTCGTGACCAGCAAAGGGAAGGAGAAGCCTTTTCCGGCTCTGAAGGACTCCTCCCATTTGACCACCCATGAGCAGCAGCTGCAGGTGCACCGAGCTACATATCTGCATATGCGACTTCATCATCCTGGTTTGTCTCAAAAGAACGAGAGCTTTCGCACTCTTTGACCTCTCCGCTCGCCCCAACTTTCAGTGACCAACCTACAGGAATCCATCATCGGATATGGGCTGACCACCGCCCAATACATCGTGGATCTCTTCTCAGCGGTCTCCGATGTTTGTTTCCCGCCATGGCATGCTGTGGAGACCCTGACTACCTGGCTCTGGCCTTCGACACACACCAGTTCGCGCCGCCTCGCGCCGGTGGTCTGCCAGTGTCTTGGACTCCCGATAACGACAAACAACTAAATGTGCCACCAGTGGCACTGCTGGGAGGGTGTACCACAACTCCTCAGACCATAAACGGCGTTCAGGCTAAAGGATCAAGGGCGGCCTGTTATCCAAGGTCAAGTCTTCCAATCGAGTTTACGAGAATGGGCCAAGGCGGCACGGTCTGCCCCTTTGGCAGCTAGGATTGTGCAGGACCCCAAAAAATCAATGCTCATCAGGTGAACTTAATGCGTGGCAGGCTTTTGGACAGCGACGATGTCAGGCATGACTCGACCGCCGCCCAAATGGACCTGTCCTCTCGGACATCTTTTGATTCTATTCTTACTTGGTTGGACAAACAGAAGATTGCGGGGGTATTGATTTGCATACCGAAGCATGACCCCATCGCGGCATTTGTTTTCGCGGTTATCAACGGATGCCTCGATAGAGACTTGCCGCTAGTGGTAGAGGGCTCTTGCAAGTCCCCCTTTTGGACGAATATGAGCCAACTTCCAGACGCTCAGCAAGCGCCGCTCCACTTTCTTGATGCTGTGCGCCATGCACTCGCAGCGTGCGTTGCAAGTCAGAACCTCGAACACTAGGCGACATTTAGAATGGCCAGATTGCAAGATGAGGTCCAATGTCTTTTTTCGACAAGTCCCCTCCATTGCAATGCTTGGGCCTTGCTGTCGCTGCGAACAAGAATAAAAATCTTTCAACGGCGCATGGTCCAAGCTGTATTTCAACTAGAAGCCGGGCGACCCGACATCTGAGGCGCTGGTCGCGGTCCGGTGTTTCCGTTTCTCTTCATGGGGGCCGTTTCACCTTCACAGACGACACCAGGTCAAAGGCGACATTCCCAAACAAAACCTTGACTGTTCCGTCCAGCTGTCCAGTCGAAGGGTGTCCACCCAGAATGGATCAAATTGCTTAATTCGCACTCAAAGGGGTCAGAGGGGCAACATGGATCAAATTGCCAAATTCGTGCTGACAATGGGGGGGTCAAAGGGGTTAGAGGGGGCAAAATGGATCAAATTGCTTAATTCGTGCTGAACAATGGTGGTCGGATTGCCCAATTCGTGTTTAACATTTCGGGTTTAAGTTTGGGGTTTAGGGTTTAGGGTTTAAGGTTTAGGGATTACGGTTTAGGGTTTAGGGTTTAGGGTTCAGCAGCTCCGGCGAATTTTGTGGTAGTGTTGTATTTGCGGCTCGGATATAACACCCTCCCACCCAGAGAATCCCATAGCATTAAGAAACCATATAAAGTATCTTCATACAAAAGTTCTTTTCAACGAAGACTACGGCTACAGAACAAATTCGTTCTTAAAAATCCGCATAGTGTCACACAAAGATGAGCATTACAAGCCCGGGGTGGTAAGGGGGCAGGGGGGAGGAGGTGGGGGGCGGGTGTTGGGGGGGTTGGGGGGGGGCTGGGGGGGTGGGGGGGGTGGGGGGGGGGTGGGCAAAGGCGCAAATATTCAAGGCAACCAGGGGTCCATGAGCTTGAGCTGTTTTTTGTGCGGTTGCCGGCTTCCGTTGCGATTCATCTTATGTTCGCCTACTTCATCTTCAGCTTTTTCCTTGAATGGAAGCAGCAACTTTGGCAAGAATACGCAAAAATACGCCTTGCGCCGGAAACTGTCCGGGGGCGCTGATTGTGTTGCTGGTTCCTCACACCTCCTTATGGGGGTTGATGAAAATAGGGTATTGTAAAGACAGACCCCCACTAGTAGGTAATCACCAAACAAGGTCATCTGATAATTACTTGGTTGGATCTTCGGAAGCTGATGTGCAGATGTTCTTTCAAGCCATGAAAAGGCTGGGCGCTGTTTCAACAAAGGGTTGCTTCATCTTCCCAAGTCTGGCCGCAAGGATGCGCTGGCTTTGGGGTTTTGGGGCTTTGCTGCTTTGAGTTTCAAGAGAAGACCTGACATCGGCGGCTTTTGGGGAATGCGTTTTCATGCCTTCGGCCGTTGTGCATGGCTCGTGCCTGACCATGAGGTATTTGGCTCAAATTCCTTGCAGCGCCCATGGGCACCGTCTGCGAACATCTTTTGTTCATATTCATTGTCTTGTGTGACCTCCGTGTTTTGCCAACGTTTGCTGCACGTGCTTTTGACCACGTGGGCCTTTCAGAGGCTTCCGCGGAGAGGGGGCTTGTTTACGTTGGCATTTTCTCAGCAGCCGAGAACAAAGCGAGGCGTCATGCTGTTCGCAATTCCTGGCTTACACACGCAAGGTTGAGACTTGATGCGGATTTCATCGTGGGTCGAGCAGCGATTGGAGGCACAGATGGTTTGAAGGTGCGACAGCAAGGTATGGTGGCTGGGCAATATCAGCTTCTTCTAGAGAAAGAGCTGGCTGACGAGGAGCGCCGTTATGGTGACATTCTGCGGATCCCAAACCTGGATGTCTACTCAGAGCTGCCAGCTAAAACCCTTGCACTATTTGCTTACGGAGTCCGGCGGGGCTATAGCTTCATTGTCAAGGTTGATGATGACCAGTATTTCTGGCCTCTTCAGGCGTGGTCTTTCTTTCGAGACCGTGATCCTCAGACACCTTTGTATGCAGGGAACCACCTGTGGGAGAGCATGGTCTCCGACATTCAGCTCGGAGCAGATGGTCAGTTTACCCCTTACTTTGGGGGTCCCTGCTACGCCCTGTCGCTCGCCTTGGCATCCAACATTGCAGATGAGAATCTCCCGCGCAGTGCAGCCTACGAGGCATATGGAAGCACCTCTGAGGATGTGGACATGGGTAAGTGGGTGAACCTCTCGGGCCTGAAGGTGGACTTTGTTACCGTTGAGCTGAGTTCTTACGAGCTGACTCCACAGTCGTCCGCGCTTCCGCCGAGGAGCAGCCTCCTGCACACTCCGGCAGTGTACCGTTGGCCAGACTTTCCTCTGGGAAATGCGTATTTCCACTACTGGAATGCGCGGGCAATGGCAATCTTCAAGCATTCGGCTTTTGAAGCTGTGGATGCCCCGCAGCATGGTGCAGAGATTCTCCTGCACTTGCCACAGAAGGCTCATCAAGTTCAGCCATCTGACTTGCAGTCGAAACTTTTCGCGAAGCTTGCAAGAGATGTCGGAGCTTGCCTCACTTGCGGTTATCCGGCAGAGAGTGCCCTAGCCCCCTGGCAGCTCATCATGGGGACGATGGCCCTTGAGACGCAGGCCATTGTGCGAAAGCTGCACCCGCACGCAAGCAGCTTCGCGGCAGATGCGGTAGTACATGTTCGCTGCGATCTTCGCATCATCTCCATGCACACTGACTACGGCCTCTTGAGGCACCGCTTCGTGGCAGATCGCCTACCGCCCAATGTGAATCATCTTGTCGTTGTGGGTACATCCGAAGCTTTTGATGTGAATAATATGTGTGGCAAAAGCACCAGGGATTTCCAGGAGTACATCAGGAGGAGGAATGTGACTGTGGAGCTGCGCTCTCACGGCACAAGCTTGGAGGACTGGCTTTTCTTAGCATCCGCACCTCTGCTGTTTTGCAGCCCTTCCACATTTTGTGCAAGTGCAGCATTTGGCAATCCAAACCAGGTTTTCTTGCCAGTGAATGACCACACGAGCATCAGAAGACCCTCGTTGCCTGTACCATGCCCTCGCAACCTGCACTGGGCACAGACGGACTTCCTTCCTGGAAAGCTGCTGCAGCAGGTAAACTGGGACAACACACGCCGCTACCTCCGGGCAAGCAATTGCACCGTGAGCTTCTGTGATCCTCGTGCAGACTGACAGACGGCCAAGGGCTGTCTAGCTCGTGGATGCTAGAATGATTGATTGGCTGCGTGATGGGACAAACAGGAGGGACTCTAGCAATCAGTCCAGCCACGTGTTGTGATTCCATCATAGGGTCTAGCGTTCTTGGCAGCGCAGCATCGCATAGTCAGGCATAGCCATGGTCACCAGATATCGCTTGTTACAACCCCACAGTCCTTCGTGACTTTCTCGCGTGAGCATCTTAATTGGGACGCGCGAGCTGTGGGCCTGAACAAATGACAGCAAGACTCCGATGTTGCAGCTGGAGCGGGAGTTTCAAGGGATCTCCAGGAGCCCCCAACCCTGAACCCTGCTGCTTGCACATGACGCGTAATTGTCGGCTCCAGGATCTTGCCTTGTGTTGACCCACCAGCCTTTCGTCCTACCAGTCCTACCATGGCGACGCGAACATCAGTGTTGAGGCCCACGATCCACGCAGTTCCGCAATCTCCTTGCTGTGGGCTGTGGGACGGAAGCTGTGTATGCTGTTGAATATGTACTTGCAGTTTAGACCCTATAGGGTTTACAGCTTCCATTGCTTGGAGGCCGCTGTTGCGTGGCTACCGTGTCGGCCTGCGCAGCCTGCACGGAAGTCCCTCTGCCCATAAAGACAGTCCTGTTTAGGGTTTAGGGTTTGGGTTTGCCTGAGCCGGATGGGCGGTGCGATCACAGCTGCATAGACAACGCAGGAGGGCTTTGTCGGAGCTCAAAGTAAGATTCCAAATCTTGGTGGGAGTCTGTTTGCAAAAGCAGCTCTGGCGTCAGCTGTGGTCAGTAATTTTCCGATGGAGACATCTTCAGCTTTGCTCGCCCCCTGGACCTTATGTAGGTTAGGTCACCCCAAAAACCCGAAACCCTAAACCCCTTAACGGCTAAACCCCTAAACCCGCGTTCGGGGCTGGGGGCCCTGTTTGGGGCTGGCGGCCCAAAACCCTAAACCCAAAACCCTAAACCCAAAACCCTAAACCCTAAACCCTAAACCCTAAACCCTAAACCCTAAGCCCTACTGGAGACAAGGCACCTTCCCACGTTGTTGAATCCGAGGTCGCCGCTGCCTCGATCAAGCCAAGGACTTCAGGGTGTAGGGGATTGGGGTTTAGGGTTTGGGGATTGGGGTTTAGGGTTTAGGGTTTAGGGTTTAGGGTTTAGGGTTTAGGGTTCGATTGAGGTTTTTGAGGGTTCAAGGACCAGGTTCGTTGGGTTCAAGGAAGGGGCACGCGCTTGGAGAATCTAGAAAACACGAATTCTTGCTTTGGGTTTTGTGTTTAGGGTTTAGGGTTTCGGGTTTAGGGTAGGGTTTAGGGTTTAGGGTTTTGGGGTTTAGGGTTTAGGGTTTTGGGGTTCATGGCCTTTTCCTTGCCAGGCGAGGCAGCGGATCGCCGACGCATTGAGGGCCACTCCGTCGGGGATCCCAGGACGAGCGTTTGTACCCCTAACCCCTTAACCCTAAACCTTAAACTCTAAACCCTAAACTCTAAACTCTAAACCTTAAACCCTAAACTCTAAACTCTAAACCCTAAACCGTACCCTAAACCCTAAACCCTACCCTAAACCCTAAACCCTAAACCCTCAACCCTCAACCCTCAACCCTCAACCCTCAACCCTCAACCCTCAACCCTCAACCCTCAACCCTAAACCCTAAACCCTAAACCCTAAACCCTAAACCCTAAACCCTAAACCCTAAACCCTAAACCCTAAACCCTAAACCCTAAACCCGAAACCCTAAACCCTAAACCCTAAACCCTAACCCCCAAACCCTAAACCCGAAACCCTAAGTACAGTTCCCGAAAGCATGTGGGTCTCTTTGGTTTTGGGTTTCCATGCTCACGGTGCCCGGCAGCCAAAACAGATCGTGTGGGGAGCCAAAGCACGAAACCCTCCCTAATTACGCAGCAGCTCGGGGTTGGAACTTGAGCTCTGGCAGTTGAGGGTTTGGAGTGTAGGGTTTAGGGTTTAAGGTTTGGGGTTTAGGGTTGAGGGCGGGAGGGGCAACTTGCAATTATAGGTCGTACCTATTCTAGACCCTACCCGAGCCACCGAAACCTCTGAACCCTAAACCAACCCTAAACCCTAAACCTCCTCAACCCGCTAAACCCCCCTAAACCCGCAAAACCCCCTAAACCCCCCTAAACCCCCTTCACCCCCCTTCAGCCCCCTAAACCCCCCTAAACGCCCTGCAACCACCTCAAACCCCGTCAGAAGACCCAGGGCGTCCACGGTGCACGAGCTGCCCCATGACCACCACATCTTCGAAGATGCAGTAGCCTGGCGCAGAGAAGCCATCAGCCCTTGGACCCCCCTGTCTCCGAAGCTTTGCGTGTTGGGCTTAAGGTTTCAAGGTTTGGGGGTAGACTTTCGGGTTTTGGGTTTAGGGTTTATGAGTTTAGGGGTTGTGGGTTTAGGGCTTTAGGGATTTTAGGGGTTTAGGTGTTTAGGGGTTTAGGTTTAGGGTTTAGGGTTTAGGGTTTGGGGTTTAGCACAACGGGACGAAAGGGCGTTGCTGTGCCCACGATTGTTCAAAAGTTAAACCTCCAACCCAAAACCCCAACAGCCAGAAGCCCAACCCTCCCAGGACATGCAGATGCTGCATGACATGGGCATCCATACCGAGTGGGTGCAGCACAACGCGCGGCCCGGCACCTTGTATGACGAGGCCTTCGGCATGGCCACCCATGGGTTCAGGGTTCAGGGGTTTCGGGTTTAGGAGGGTTTAGGGTTTAGGGTTTAGGGTTTAGGGTTGAGGTTTTGGGGTTTAGGGTTTAAGGGTTCAGGGCTCAGGGTTTAAGGGTCTAGGGTTTGTGACAGGGTTTAGGGCTTAGGGGTTAAAGGTTGAGGGTTTGGGGTCTAAAGGTTGAGGGTTTAGGGTCTAAAGGTTGAGGGTTTAGGGTTTAAGACCCGCAGCAACATAGGGTTTCTGAACATCCAGAATGGGTCCGGCCCCATGCACGGCTAAGAGGGTGCACCTCTTGGGTGTGCTGGCCATGGCCACAGGAAGTTTCGAAGCCTTCGGCCCTTGAAGAAGCTTATCTACCCATAACCCCCAGACCCGAAGCGCCAAACCCTAAGCCCTAAATCCTAAACCCTAAACCCCGAACCCCAAACCCTAAACCCTAAACCCCAAACCCCAAACCCCAAGCCCCTAAACCCTAAACCAGCTGCGGGCCGAACCCTGGCGCTTCCCTCGCGCCAGGCCCTGCGGTACGAGAAGGGCTCGGCCATTCTCTCGACTGGGGCGCTGGCGGCCTTCTCAGGTGGGGTCCAGGAGGGTTTAGGGTTTAGGGTTTGGGGTTTGGGGTTTGGGGTTTAGGGTTTTGGATTTGGGGTTCAAGGTTTAGCGAAACCCTTCGAAAACCTTGAGCCCCTGAAGCCCTCGCCCTAAACGGCATTGCAGGGCTCTTAGCCGGTCTAGGTAGGGTTGAGCCCGAAACCTGAAGACCCGAACCAATCGACACTGGATTCACAGCCCTGACCCCAAGCCCGGAGGTAAGTTGGGTGTAGTGGGGTTTAGGGTTTGGGGTTTAGGGTTTGGGGTTTAGGGTTTGGGGTTTAGGGTTCAGGGTTTGGGGTTTAGGGTTTGGGGTTTAGGGTTCAGGGTTTGGGGTTTGGGGTTTAGGGTTTGGGGTTTGGGGTTTAGGGTTTAGGGTTTAGGGTTCAGAGATTCGTGTCCGTGAGGTGCCAAGACAGGCCGTTCCCCGCTCGACAAGCGGGTGGTGGATGAGCCCGGCGCTCACATGACACTTGTGGGCTTCCGAATTTAGGGGTGGAAGCCACACATGGGTTCAGGGTTTAGGGTTTAGGGTTTAGGGTTTAGGGTTTAGGGTTTAGGGCTTAGGGCTTAGGGGGGTTTCCTACCTCATTTCGGGGTACCTTCTTGGGGAGCGCTGACGCTCAACAGGCTCAGTGGCCTCCTTTTTTGAACATGGAACCTTGAAGCCCTCAACCCCTCAACCCCTCAGCCCCTCAAGCCCTGAACACAGAACCACTCAGCACCGTCGGCCATACCTGGAGCCTAAGCGAGACTTCGGCCTGACAAACCGCTGCTCTTGCTGCACTCCCTTCAGGGTTTAGGGTTTAGGGTTTAGGGTTTAGGGTTTAGGGTTTAGGGTTTAGGGCTTAGGGAGTTTGAAAAGGTTGTAAGGAGTTAAAAAAGGTTGAGGGTTGAGGGTTCGCAGGTTTGGGGCTTCGGGTTTCGGCTTCCAGGCCATCCACCTCCGACGACATTTGGTGGGGCTGCTGGGCAGCACAGCCTCTTCAAAGGGTTTAGGGTTTAGGGTTTAGGGTTTAGGGTTTAGGGTTTAGGGTTAAGGGCCTGTCTTCCCTAAACCCCCTAAACCGCGTAAACTCTGGACCCCCTCAACCCTGCCCGAAGCCCCCTAAACCCCTCTTAAGTTTTTTCAACCTTGAACTGGGAAAAGAAGGCTTGTGCTTAAAGGGTGCCGACGCACGGGCTTATAGTTTAGAAACCGCGGCTGAGGTTGCACACGATAGGGGCCATTGCAAGAAGCAGCACTTGGTCGTGGAGCGCGTGCGTGGTAGTAGGTCGAGAGTTCTGTTGGATTTTGTCGGTGGCTGATGATGTGTGCCCTTGACTGCCCGCGATTTAGGCTTCAGGGTGTCCGTTCTCCTAAACCCTAAACCTCCTAACCCTAAACCCCTAAACCCCCTGTCGTAGTGCCTGTGACGGAAACCTATATCCCCAGTCTTGGCAGCTTCCCTGCCACCCGTGCCCTTAGCGTTTAGGGTTTAGGGTTTAGGGTGTAGAGTTTAGGGTTTAGGGTTTAGGGTTTAGGGATATCTTCTCAAAAGCACTTAGCACTTACAATTGTACCATCAGGGTGTTCACCATAAGGGTCGTATGGCGATGGCCTTAAACCCTAAACCCTAAACCCTAAACCCTAAACCCTAAATCCTAAACCCTAAACCCTAAACCCTAAACCCTAAACCCTAAACCCTAAACCCTAAACCCAAAACCCTAAACCCAAACCCCTAAACCCTAAACCCTAAACCCTAAACCCTAAACCCTAAACCCTAAACCCTAAACCCTACCCCCTAAACCCTAAACCCTAAACCCTAAACCCTAAACCCTAAACCCTAAACCTTGCACCGAAACCCAAGCCTGGACCCCAAGCATGCGCATTTTGGGCTTCCAGGCTTCCAGGCTTCCAGGCTTCCAGGCTTTAGGGCTTTGGGGTTCAGGGTTTTGAAGGAATTGGGGGTTTCGGGTTTAGGGTTTAGGGTTTGCGGTTCAAGCGTGCGGGTTGAATTCCTCAGCCCCCTAATGCACAACTCTCACCCTAAACCCTAAACCCTAAACCCTAAATCCTAAACCCAAAACCCAAAACCCTAAACCCTAAACCCTAAACCCTAAACCAGAAGCCCTGAGACCCAAATCGCAGGCAGCGTCAACGTGAAGCTCTCAGAGAAGAGCTTCAAGCGACCCGAATGCCACAGCATCTCTCTCTTTATGTTATAGCCCTTCTTGCCCTAAACCTCCAATACTAAGCTCCCTAAACCCCAAACCCTAAACCCGAAACCCCAAACCCCAAACCCTAAACCCTAAACCACAAACCCCAACCCCCAAACCCTAAACCCAAAACCCTAAACCCTGAGCCCCTAAGCCTTAAACACGATACCGAAGGCCCTGGCCTACCGCGGTTTAGGTTGGGCCACCCACCTCTGCGATGTACGGCTTGGGGGTTTAGGGTAGGTTTGGGGTTTAGGGTTTAGGGTTCAGGGTTTAGGATAAGAATGCGTTCTCATTGTCCACGGGACGTGCACGTCGGCGGTCCAAGCGGTGCAGTGTTGAAACCCCATCCCATCCCAACCCCTAGGATGAGGGTTGATCGCCCCAACGTGGGTGGCTCAAACCCAAGACTTTTAGGCCACGCCCTAAAACCTTGGTTGGGACTTCTTGGATGGGTGGGTTTGCATCCTGGTTGGATCATGGAAGCTTTGGGTCTAGACGCCAAGGATCAACCGAGAGCGCGCCATCGACTACCTGAACACCCGAGTGCCTGGGGAAGAATCTGGAGGGGTTGGAGGAAGGTCGGGTTTAGAGGGTTGAGGTTTCAGAGGTTGCCCCAAGTTCCCGAAAGCCGTGCAGGATGCGCGAATGCTCATCCTTGATATTCATTTGAGTTTCAGGTTTCAGTGCTGGACCACCATGTCGCAAGCCTCAGCTGTTTGTGGTCGCCAGGAAAGACTTTACGTCTTTGACGGTTTCGCCGGGTGGGATCCAGATTACCGCTACAAGGCAGAAGATTGTGCTTCGAAGCTGCGTCTTGAGCATGTTTGCTGTTCTGGGCTATTTGGAGTAGTGTGTCTCAGCAACATGTCGCACTACTCCAGACTACTGGTTTCTATTCTGTTCCGGCAACTCAATTCCGGAGCATGAGGTGTTGACTCGGCTCGACGTCTAGCTTTTTTGCTTGCTGACAGACAGTGATAGAGCGCGTAGCAAAAGCTGTTCGTGGTTTAGTTCGGGTTTAATCAACCCGAGACCCAAAACCCTAACCCGAAACCCTAAACCCGGTGTAGGGCTCATGTTTTAGGTTCCGTCAAGTTCTTGCACATTCCTACTCCGACAGATTCGCGTCATCACCAGCCGGGCTTACCACGCGCTTTTCATGCACAACATGCTGATCCGGCCCACTGAGGAGGCACAAATCACTATGATCCACAATCCGAAACCCTAAGCCCTACGCCCTAAACTCTAAACCTGAAACCCTAAACCCTAAACCCGACACGCGTTGCAGAGTAGTGCAGAGTCGGGCTTCATGAAAGTTGGTTTAGGGGTGTTACGGACCTTTATGAGGTGCGTTAAGGATTCTTTGGTGTTTGGGGCAATTGGCAGGTTCGAGCGTTGAGGGTTTGGGGTTTGGGGTTTAAGGTTTAAGGTTTCGGGTTTAGGGTTGAGGGTTTACGGTTAGGGTTTGGGGTTTAGAGCTTGTTTAGACTGCAGATTCGATCTGTTTCCTCTGCTGGGGGCCCCAGGCCCCGGACGTTCCTCGATAATACCGAAACCCTAACGCCCAAACCCGGAACCCTTCATGGGGGTTTAGGGCTTCGTGACTTCGTGTTTGGGGTTTACGGCTTTGGGGTAGCCTTTTTGGGGGCCCCTTTAAGGGATTCTATTCTCTTTGGGGTATAAAAAGAGGTACCCCGATTTTCGGAAATGCCCACATGCTAAATCTTATCTTTCCCTAGCCACAAAACCCTGAGCCCTAAACCCTAAACCCTAAACCCTAAACCCTAAACCCTTGACCCTTGACCCTTGAACCCTAAACCCGAACCCTGAACCCTTCCCTTTGTGCGGCAGGAGCTGGCAAACTTTGGTGAGCCAGCTGGGCACCGAGAAGGGTTGCTTCAGGGTTTAGGGTTTAGGGTTTAGGGTTTAGGGTTTAGGGTTTAGGGTTGAGTGCACGGAGTTGCAGGGTTCAGGATGTAAGGTTTGGGGTATGCGGGTGTAAGGTTGAGGGTGTTTGACGGAGATTTAGAGGAGTCGAAGCTGATGTCATATGAAGGCAGATGTCGGGGCACGTTCGTGGTGCGATGCGAAGCAACCCTAAACCCTCAACCCTCAACCCTCAACCCTCAACACTCAACCCTCAACCCTCAACCCTCAACCGTCAACTCTCAACCCTCAACCCTCAACCCTCAACCCTCAACCCTAAACCCTAAAACCCCAAAACCCTAAACCCTGCCGAGGACTATACGATCTACAATGCTGGGGCGTTCCCATGCAATCGGGCGACAGAGGGCATGACGTCTGGCACCTCGGTGACGCTGAACTTCGCCTCCAGTGCCTCGGCCAGAGCCTGGTGAAACTTCAACAAGTCCCGGCCCCCCGCCCCCCCTCCCAAGGCCCACACACACCCTGAACCCAAAACCCTAAACCCTAAACACCAAACCCTACACCCTAAACCCTAAACCCAGAATGAGTAGTGTCTACGCTCACAGGCGATGTCGGATGCCCGGGCAACCTTGTCAACAGTTCGGTTAGCGTTCAAGGTTTAGGGCTTAGCGCATAGGGCTTAGGGTTTAGGGAGCAGCTTCAGCTGTAAGTCGTGCGAGCTGCAAGCTAGTCAGCTCTTCCAGTACCCTGGTAAACCCCACAGACACCGAACATCGTCCCACGCTCAATGCCCTGGTGCTGGTCGCTGCGGACAGAAGTCCCTTGCTACAGCCCCCTGTTCATAAGCCCCCTGTTCATAAGCCCCGAGGAAGTATTGAAACCTGTTGTATTCGTTTGGGCGCAAAGGTAGGCAGGCCCAGAGAGATTTCCCCAACCCCTAAACCCTAAACCCGAAACCCCAAACCGTAAACATTCAGGGTTAAGGGCTTACGGGTTTAGGCCTCAGGGGTTGGGGTTTAGGGTGTGTCAGGGCTCGGAGTTAGGATTTTGTGTACCGTGTGTTGGCTTTTAATCGAAGGGCTGCAGGCCCCTTTCCCAACTTTGCTACGAGCCGCAGGAGAGGTCGTGATCTTGGGCACGCAGTACGCGGGAGAGATGAAGAAGGGCGCCTGAGAAGCCTTTTGAGAAGCCCGAAGCCCTAAACCCGAGACCCTAGACCCTAGACCCTAAACCCTAAACCCTAAACCCTAAACCCCAAACCCTAAACCCTAAATCCCAAACCCTAAGCCCTAAACCCTCAAAGCCCTGAAAGCCCTGCACCTCTACGAGTCCCATGTCCTGAGCGCTTGAGGCGGGCCATATGTCAGATCCCCTGAGGCGAACCCCCGAGCCCGAAACCCGGAACCCGAACGCCTGACAAACCCTAAACCCTAAACCCAAAACCCAAAACCCAAAACCCTAAACCCTAAACCCTAAACCCTAAACCCTAAACCCTAAACCCTAAACCCTACACCCTAAATCCAAAGCCTGAAACTCTAAGCCCTAAACCCTTCAACCCTTCAGCCCTTCAACCCTTCGACCCTTCAACCCTTCAACCCTTCAACCCTTCAACTCCTCAACTCCTCAACTCCTCAACTCCTCAACTCCTCAACTCCTTGACTCTGAGGCGTTTTCTCGATTATGAACTACCTGCTGCCGAAGCGCGGTTTTGGCTGCAGAGGGTGCTTTCGGGGGCTTCTCTCCAGGCTGAGAGGTGAGGAACTGGGGTTGAGGGAGGGAATGGACAAGCCGAGGGGTTGAGGGTTTCGGGTTTAGGGTTAGGGTTTAGGATTTGGGGTTTAGGGTCAGGGTTTAGGGTTTCGGGTTAAGGGTCTAGGGTTTAGGGTTTGAACGTTGAGGGGTCCCTGTGTCTCTTCCGAGAGCATGCAGTCCGGAGATGAAAAACCCGTTTGAGGGTTCGGGATTTAGGGTTTAGGGGGCTGAGGGGAGCTTCTTTTGAGGTCCTCCAAACCCTAAAACAAAAACCCCAAAAACCCGAAACAAAAACCCAGTCCTTACGGGAGTGTGGGTTCGGGACAATTCCGGAACCGAGTGGGGACAGTTCACGGGCTGTGACGACCCCCGTCCCCCTCCTACCCTGAACCCTAAAACCCTAAAACCCTAAACCCTACTGGCGTAGGGTTTAGGGTTTAGAGTTTCCCGCATGTAGAAGAGGCTTCTGCTTGACATTCCTATCCAGACATCTGTCTTCGCACAGCGTGGCCGCAATGCGCTAAGTCAGTTTTACTCCCTCTACGAATGCGTTCTGTGGCGCTTGAGTTGTTACTTCTCGGTTCCCGAATGGGTGCTTCGAAGTGTACCGCGCGGTCCGTGACGCAAGGTTCCTGAACTCTGGCGCCTGAATTGCACCAGGCGGTTCCCCCGGGTTTAACTCTAATCCCTGAACCGTAAACCCTAAACCCTAAACTCTGAGCCCTAAACCCTAGACCCGAATGTAGTTCTCGAAATGGACGTCGCGCGGTGGTTTCGGATCTAAGCGAAGCTCAGGTGGAATTCTCAGCATGCACGCCTCCGCGAACGAGGGAAAGCAGCTCGGGAGAAACATCGTGAACCGGAGCGAGTTTTCATGTTTTTTGGTGTTTGGGTCTTAGGGTTGAGGGTTTTTTTGGGAGCCTGAGATTGTTTTTTAAATCTTGTCTCCTTGGCGCACATTGCCCTGAACCCTAAACCCCAGAGCCTGAACCGGAAACCCTATGATGGTAGCTGTGATCAGAGGGGTGAAAAGGCTTAAGCCCTAAACCCTAAACCCTAAACCCTAAACCCTAAACACTTAACCCTAAACCGTGAAACCTAAACCAGGCATCTGAAATCTGCAGCCTGGCAGCGGGTTGTCGCGTGTCGTGTAGGCTTTAACTTGGAGGGTGGTCTACAATTAGGTAAGGTAAGTTGGGATGTTCCCCTTATCCTGACAGGCCTCAATAGGGATTCTACTAGAGGGGGTACTATAATCCCTATAAAGGACTGTTGTATAAGTAAGGGGCAACATCCCAAAGGGAAACCATAGTTCTCTCTTATACTTTGTCATCTGCTTGTTTGGGGTACCTTGAAGTAGGGCCCATGTTCATCGGGCTTTCAGGGACGGCGACGTCACCGTCTTCTTCGGACTGTCGGGCACTGGCAAGACCACGTTGCCGCTTGCATAAGAGCATGAGACTCCCTGAAATGATCTTTGGCTTATGGGTCTAGGGTCTAGGGTTCAATCCCCATCACCCTCGCCTGAATTTGTAGCCCCAAGCCCCTGAACTCTTTACAACTCTATGCAGCCCAGCCTGCAGAAAGACAGCTAGCCCAGCGCATCTTTCAACAGGAAGCCTCCCTAAACCCTAAACCCCATGTCTTGAACACCCCAAAGCTCCGAAGCCTGTGAGCCCAAACCTTAAGCCCTGCCTGCCTTGGAACCCTATCAGAAGTTGTTTTTTCGGGGTTATGAAGTGTAGGGGTTTAGGGAGCTAGGAGGTTTAGGCAGGCAGGAGGGGGTTTAGGGGGCTTGGGGGTTTGGGGTTGAAGATGTGAGGAGGAGGGTTTTATGGTTGGTGCAGACAGGGCTAGGATCTAGACTGACACCCAATATCGACCAGTGAGCTCTCCGATGGGCGAGGGGTCTCGCCCGCACATCCGTATGTTGCATGTTGGTCCCAGTCCGGAACCGCTCAGGTCGCCCCAAGAACAATACAATCAGCACGACGAAAGCCTAAACAGAAGCCCAAAACTTTGAACCCTAAACCTTAAATCCTAAACCCTGAATTCTGAACCCTGAACCCTGAACCCTGAGCCCGGAACCCTGAACCCTGAACCCTGAACCCTGAACCCTGAACCCTAAACCCTAAACCCTAAACCAGGGAAAACCTGGCAACCTGGTGAGGACCCGCAAGCCTGAGCAAAGGTCCGCTGACGAGAATCGGCTCCTCATCGGCGACGATGAGCATGCCTGGACGGACAAGGGAGTCTGAGCCCGAGACTTTTAGGGTTTAGGGTTTGGGGTTTAGGGTTTAGGGTTTAGGGTGTGCAGGGTTTAAGGTTAAGGTGCCTAAGGTTTCTGGTGTAGGGCTCAGGGGTTTAGTTTGGGCGCAAGAGCGGGGTGTCTTGAACCAATGCCGGCCCCAACAGCCACTTCTTCTCAAGGGCGTTTGGGGGTTTAAGGCCCTAAACCCTAAACCCTAAACCCTAAACCCTAAACCCTAAACCCTAAGCCCTAAACCCTAAATCCTAAACCCTAAGGCCCTGAGGGGTTGTAAAGGAGTTCAGGGCTCTGGGGATGCCGAGGAGTAGGAAAGGAGTAGGTTGTACCTCTTACAACTCCTTCTGCTGTACTCGACGACTCAACCCCTCATCCCTACATCCCCAAAGCGCCCCAAGAAACCCAAAAAGCCCTCACTGCCCCTGCCGAGATCTTCAACATCGAGGGCGGATGCTATGCCAAGGCCAGGGTGCACACAGGTGTAGAATTTTGGGTCTAGGTGTTTTTGGGTTTAGGGTTTAGGGTTTGGGCGTTTTTGGGTTTAAGGCTCAGGGGGTAATGGTTTCAACTTCCCTTCTGCGTCGGTACGTCGGCCGCAGGCCAAAGCCGTGAGCCACTCAACCTAAGCCCAGAACCTGAAACCGAAAGACGAAAGCCCCGAAGACCAAGCGCGAAAGCCTTCAACCCCCCAGGCAGACCATGCCTACATGTCATACCCTGTCCTCTTGCAGAGGTTGGCAGCAAACTTGGCACGCAGTTTACACGTTTGTCTGACCAGGTCGATTTGTGCCAGGTGTAACTGTTGCAGGCGATATCAGCTGGATTGTGTTGTTGCCAGTACCCGCCCGGCTCGCCCGCGCCTGTACAACTGATTATTGAGGGTGCCAAACATTCGCCCGGAACCCGGACTCATTCATTCATGCATGTCGCCAAAACACCGACCATGTGCACAGTGTCGTGTCTCGAGCTTCCACTTGTACTGCGTCTGCACTGCGTGGAATGTGTGATAGGTGCTGACTCTAAACCTGAAAGTTCCTGAAAGCGCAGACCCCCACCTAAATCCCAGGAGCTTCGAATGCTCTTAAGCCTCGAAGGTCTTGAGAGCCATGGGGATTCGGGTTTTTGGGGGTGTCCAGGGTTCAGGGCAAGCTCAATCTTCAACCTGAAGTCGATTTCAAGGCGCAAAAGACTTTGAGGTGCTTGTGAGCTCCCTAAACCCGAAACCCGAAGCCCTAAACCCTAAACCCCAAACCCTAAACCCTAAACCCTAAACCCTAAACCCTAAACCCTAAACCCCTAAACATCCCTAAACCCCGAGACCCCTGCGTCTGTCCTTTAAACCTCTTCGACCTGGCTTTAGGGTTGAGGGTTGAGGGTCTAGGGTTCAGGGTTTGGGGCTAGATAATTTCGGATATAGAGCTTGTGGTTCAGGGTTTAGGGTTTAGGGTCTAGGGTTTAAGGTTTAGGGCTTGGAGCTCTAAGGTTTAGGGGCTGAGCTCGGGGTCTTCGTGTTTGGGGCATAGGGGCGCTGTGCCAGGCCATTGGGCTGACGCGTGAGAAGGACCTGCGCAGGTGTAGGGTTTAGGGTTTAGGGTTTAGGGTTTAGGGTTTAGGGTTTAAGGGAAAGGGTTTAGTTTAGGGTTTACGGGGCACGGCCCTGAAACCCTCAACCCTCAACCCCTGAATCTAAACCCCTAACCCCTAAACCCCAAACCCTAAGCTCTGAAACGAAGGGCAGGGGGGCTGGAACACATTTGAGGTCCTGTTGTTGTAGCCACTTGGGGGTGTAGGGTTTAGAGTTTAGGGCTAGGGTTTAGGGTTTAGGGTTTAGGGTTTAGGGTTTAGGGTTTAGGGTTTAGGGTTTAGGGTTTAGGGTTTAGGGTTCAGGGCGAGGGTTCAAAAAGAACCCTCCCAGTAGCCGCCCGTTGAGGAGCCCGAGATCTGGGATGCGATCCGCACCTGGGCTCTTTGTATTCTTTGACTTCGTTGTTTTCGTAAAACCCTAAGCCCTAAACCCTAAACCCTAAACCCTAAACCCTAAGCCCTAAACCCTACACCCTACACCCTAAGCCTGCGCCCTAAGCCCATGTTCTCAACCCTGAAACTTCGGGAAGCCTGCAGCCTCAACCCTTGAATCCTCTGTCAGGGACATGCGGAGGTCCATCTCTAGGGTTTAGGGTTTAGGGTTTAGGGTTTAGGGATTGTTAGAGCTTTAGGGTTTAGTCGTTTGGGTTCCCGGGGTTTCTAGAAGTTGGGTGATCAAGTAGTTCCTGGATGCTTCGAAGGTTTCGGAGCCCTTCTGGAGAACGTGGTCTTTGACCAGCGGACAGGTGCCCCAGTGCCGGTTTCGGGTTTCGGGTTTAGGGCGTAGGGCTTAGGGCTTGGGATGATTAGGGTTTAGGGTTTAGGGCTGTATTTGGGTTGAGTTGGTTTAGGGCTTAGGGTTTAGGATTTTTATTGGGCTCAGGGTTCAAGGTGTTTTTGACATGTGGGCCTTAAACCCTAAACCCTGAGGCCTAAGCCTGCAGCCCAAAACCAGGTGAAGTCGACTACGAAGATGGCAGCATCACGGAGAATACCCGGGTATCCTCGGCAGAACGTAGCCTTAACAAACCCCTCAACCCGAAACCCTAAACCCTAAATACCCTAAACCCTAAATACCTTAAACCCTAAACCCTAAACCCTAAACCCTAAATACCCTAAACCCTCAACCTTAAACCCTAAATGCCCCAAACCCTAAACCCACCCCCGGAGACCCTGAAACGCTTCGTGCTCTCCACCCTTCTCAGGTCCTCCAGCTTCAAGCTCCTAAAACCCGAAAATTCCCTGACGTCCCAAAACGAATCAAAGGTTAGGGGTTGAAGGGGTCAGAATCATGTGGGGGTTTAGGGTTTAGGGTTTAGGGTTCAGGTGCTTGGGACTTCGCTGGGCAGTGTACGAAGTCTGGAAAGGGGTGGTACAACGCAGTCTTCTATTGAGGGTTGAGGGTTTAGGGTTTAGGGCTTAGCGTTTAGGGATTCGGATGTATGTCCTTACTTGACATTTAAGGGACCAGGGTGAAACAGGTCACGGGCACCAACGGTACTTTTCTTTCGCAGTCAGGCCGTGGCGGGTCGGCAGCTGTAGGTACCGATAGGCAACCCTAAACCCTTAACCCTTAACCCGAACCCTAAACCCTAAAACCCTAAAACCCAAAACCCAAAACCCTAAACCCTAAACCCTAAACCCTAAAACTGTCCGGCAAACGAGGCAAACCCGAAGCCCTAGACCCTAAACCCTAAACCCAAGGCAGGCTTAGAGAGTGAGGCCTCCCTCCGATGTCCTGAACTTGCTTAACCCTAAACCCTAAACCCTAAACCCTAAACCCTAAACCCTAAACCCTAAATCCTAAACCCTCAATCCGAGGTCTCTTACCCCTTGGAGTACATACCCAATGCCCCTCGGCTGCGACTCTGGAACCCACAACGATTGAACCCTGAAATCTTGAAACCCTGAAACCCTAAACCCTAAACCCTAAACCCTAAACCCTGGAACCCTGGAACCCTGAAACCCTGAAACCCTGAAACCCTGAAACCCTGAACCCTTGTAACCCTCATAACGCTCATAGCCTTGAGGGTTGCAACCCTCAGCCCTCAAACCCTGTCATCCCAAAAGGAGGCATGGGGATTGCCGGATCCCCCCAGAAGAGGAACGCTTAAAGAGTGCAGGGGTGCAAGGGGTCCGAAGCCCTGAGTCCCGAAAAGCACCTAGCGCAAACCTTATCCAACCCTAAGCCCTAAACCCTAAACCCTAAAATCCCTGAGGTTAAGCTCCAAGAATGCGACGCCTTAAATGGAGACCTACCAGCCGCAACCCCAAGCAAGGGCCTCCTTATCCAGCATTTCCAGAAACCCCTTCGTTAATGAATGTCCCGAACATCAATGTAGGGTCCTGGTTCCTTGTTCAAGTTTTGGAGGTTCTGGAAAGAGCACAGGCTACGATGACGACTCCTTGTACTTCGAATCTTGTACTTCGAATGCTACTTCTAGTACAAACTCGCACTAGTACGACAGGGAGTAGGATTGGTAGATAGTACAAGTACTCAGAAGTAAGATTGGAAGCAGCAGCACGAGTACAAACATTTGGGCATCCTATGCTTTAGGGCTTCAGGGCTTGTCCGAAACTCAAGACTCCTGGCCTTCAGTGGGGTTTAGGGTTCAGGGTGTATTTTGCGTTTAGGGTTTAGGGTTTAGGGTTTAGGGTTTAGGGTTTAGGGTTTAGGGTTTAGGGGTTAGGGTTTAGGGTTCAGGAAGCTGTCGACTTTGTCTGGCAGGTGAAGATTCCGGCCGTCGGCGGCCATCCGAAGAACATCATCATGCTGCCCTCCGGGCTTGGTTGGAAATCATGGGTTCCCCCTACTACCCCTCGAAACTACCACCCACTAGGTTCCCCCCATAATGAAGGCGATGTAGGGATCATTAACCCTAGTTGAGGCGATTCAAGGTGGGACCCCTGGGAATCTACCACAAACCCCTAAGAGCCCTAAAGCCTCAACACAGAGACCACAAGCCATGCTCAGCTTCACTCCGTGTCAAGGCTGGGAGACCAGGGGTCTCCTTGGGAGTTCAGACGCTTCTTTGGGTAGGTTCATGGGCCCGAAAATATGGTCCCTAACCTCCTTTAAAGGGGTTCTGATGTATGAGCCCTTCGTTTGTATAGGGCATATAAGGGGTATGTAAGGGGTACCCTTTTACGGGCCCATTTTAAGGGTCCTACTAAGGTACTAAGGGACCATGAAACTAGGCCTGCCCAGCGGCGAGGCTGTCACACGCAGGCTCATGCATAGACCAGGCACCGCAAGGTGGGAGTTGCAAAACAAGAAACCCTAAATGTGGGAGGTAAAGCAAGAAAAACAAGCCGGCTGGGAAATCCCGTAGAGGAGGCGGAAATTGCTGTCCGCCCCCCTATGGTTGGGCTTTATGCCCCCCCCCCCATGCGTTCGAAACCATTTAGAGGGTACCTGCTCTAAGCTACCCGGACACCTACGGCCCGAGGCCTCGACGGATGTATATGCTTCGGGTTTAGGGCCGTTTAGGGGGAGTATTAAGCATAAGAATTGCGCTTGAGTCTTAAGAGTACAGTCTAGGGTTTCGGTTCAGGGTCACGAAGTGCAAGGACTTGTGACGCTTTCGGCGTCCTCCCGCCTGTGTCCAAGCTCTCGCCATCGCAGGCTTTACAGGGTGTAGGAGCTTAAGTACACAATCCCAAAGTGCGTTTTCTAATGACATGTCTTATGAAATGCTTGCGCGGGTTTGTGACTTGTCTTCTCGAGAACTTTCAGAGGCGTGGGCCATTGTGGCTATGAAGGGGGGGCCATGAGCCGAACCTTATCCCGGTTACCCCGACCACACACCTTACACTCTGAAGCCTCCTCTGCAGGCCATGTACCATTTCATCTCCGGATACACGGCCAAGGCGCCGCGTGCAAGATGTATTCAGTTGCTCGTTTTGTGCAAAGACGTGAGACAAAGCCTGTTCGCGTTACCATGTGTTCAGGAGTCTTGTGGTTTTTAGGGGTTAGGGTTTGGGGCTTAGTGCGCATATAAGGGGAAGATTTGGGCTTTCAGAGACTCTCTCGCATGACTTCATGCAGAACTCTCGTTGCCGAGGTCGCTGGAACCGAGATGGGCATTACAGAGCCCACCGCGCCGCCGCTGATTTCATGGCCCTAGCCCTAAACCCTAAACCCTAAACCCTAAACCCTAAACCCTAAACCCTAAACCCTAAACCCCGCAAGCCCCAGAGCCCAGAGCCTACAGGCGAGCCGCGAAAGCTAGATCCCCCGACGATATAAGGTACTTTGAAGGTTAGATAGGGGAAATAAGCTTTCAGGGGCCCCTTCTAGGGGTCCCTGCTGAAAAACCTTTTAGGGTTAGATAGGGGAACAAGATCCCTGAACCCTAAACCCTAAACCCTAAACCCTAAACCCTAGACCCTAAACCCTGAACCCTAAACCCTAAACCCTAAACCCTTAAGGGCCCTTCGAGGGGTTCCTCCTTATACCTTTCAGCAAGTATTCCGCCCTCGCAGGCGACCTTCTCCGCCTGCTTCGGGGCCCCGTTCATGGCCGGGCACCCATTCAGGATTTTCGGGCTTGGGCTTAGGGGCTTAGGGGCTTAGGGGCTTAGGGGCTTAGGGGCTTAGGGGCTTAGGGGCTTAGGGGCTTAGGGGCTTAGGGGCTTAGGGGCTTAGGGGGGGCTTAGGGCTAGCTTAGGGGCTTTTAGGGATGGGCTTATGGGGGCTTAGGGGTAGGGGCTTAGGGGCTTAGGGGCTTAGGGGCTTAGGGGCTTAGGGGCTTAGGAGCTTAGGGGCTTGGGGCTTAGGGGCTTAGGGCTTAGGGGCTAGGGCTTAGGGGCTTTAGGGGCTTAGGGGCTTAGGGGCTTAGGGGCTTAGGGGCTTAGGGGCTAGGGGTTGAGGGTTTAGGGTTTAGGGTTCCCATAGAGCTTTTGGGATATTGGGGGCGAAGGCTTCGGTGGGGTCGGGGCCAACCAGGAGTTGTGGGTTGGGTTTAGGGTTTAGGGTTTAGGCTGTAGGGTGTAGGGTTTAGAGTTTAGGGTTTAGGGTTTAGGGTTTAGTGTCTAGTGTCCAGGGTCTAGGGTTTGGGTTTAGGGTTTAGGATTTAGGGTTTAGGGTTTGGGAGGGGAGGGGAGGGGAGAGGAGGGGAGGGGAGGGGAGGGGGGGAGTCAATATAGTCCGCATTCCAAAAGGCCTACAGGTCAACTAGATTTCCAGTCGCAAAATCGTAGCAGAGCCCTCCAACCCTAAACGTTAAGACCCTAAACGTAAAACCCTAAACGAAAGAACCCTAAACCCTAAACCCTAAACCCTAAACCCTAACCCTAAACCCTAAAACCTATAAACCACGACACCGAGCTCATCCCCTCAGCTCAAGAGCCTCATCACCCCGGGGTTTTGGGCTTTTGGGGCTTCGGGCCTTAGGGATTTCAGGGGTTTAGGGTTTAGGGTTTAGGGTTCAGGGTCCAGGGCTGTGTTCCTTCCTGGATAGGTCTGGCATCCCGCGAAGTATGCGGAGCTGTTGGCCGACAACATGTCGAAGCACAACGTCAACGCCAAGTCCCCAGCACTCTCATCTTCTCGGATTTTGTCGGTTGGGGCGGGGGGGGGGGGAAGTTACTTTAAACCCTAAACCCCAAACCCCAAACCCCAAACCCCAAACCCCAAACCCTGAACCCTAAACCCTAAACCCTAAACCCTAAACCTGACACCGAAGATTTCAGGCCTGGCTGATCAACACCGGCTGGACTGGAGGCGGCTTCGGTGCGGGTCACCGCATGAGCCTCAAGGCAGGCAGTTACCCTAAACCCTAAACCCTAAACCCTAAACCCTAAACCCTAAACCCTAAACCCTAAACCCTAAACCCTAAACCCTAAACCCTAAACCGTTAAACCCGTTCGGGGACAAGTACCTTAACTAGCAATCCGGCTCCCGATCTCTTGCTTTATTCAGACTCGAGCGCGTCTCCGAGACTTTTCTCAACCTTTCCGGTTTAGGGTTTAGGGTGTATTGTTTAGGGTTTAGGGTTTAAAGTTTAGGGTTTAGTTGTTTCCCTGCTAGAAACACTAAACCCCCCACTCTACACAAACCCTCGAGCTTCACCCCGTAAATAACCTTAATTAGGCTTCATTATCCCCGACCCCCCTCTACACTACCCCCCTACGATCCCCCTTAAATAACCTTCAGGAGGTTCAAGTATCCCGAAAGAGCCTGAATTGTGAGGGGACCTCCAAAATCAGGGACCATGTCACTGCCCCTAGAGCTGACCAGTTATGTTAAACCTCAACCCTGAACCCTAAATCCTAAATCCTGAATCCGAGCCGTCCCTAAACCCTACCCTCGCGGTCTCAGAACCTAAGCTGCTGGAGCTCAACTACACAAGGAGGGCGTGGCTTGAGAATGACTCCTACAGCTCTAAAACCAAAACCAGACTTTAAACCACAGAGGCCTAAGACCCTAAACCCTAAACACTAAGTCCTAAAGCGGGGTCGGGGGTAGTAGGGAAACCCTAAACCCTAAACCCTAAACCCTAAACCCTAAACCCTAAACCCTAAACCCTAAACCCTAAACCCTAAACCCTAAACCCTAAACCCTAAACCCTGGGAAACCCATGATAGAACTACCCCTTAGAATCAGCGCCGGCAGGACACTCGGGCCATCATCGACGCCATCCACTCTGGGGACTTGGCCAAAGCTGAGCCTCCTGCCTTGCATGTCGCGCCTTAAGCCCTAAACCCTAAACCCTAAACCCTAAACCCTAAACCCTAAACCCTAAACCCTAAACCCTAAACCTTAAACCCTAAACCCTAAACCCTAAACCCTAAACCCTAAACCCTAAACCCTAAACCCTAAACCCTTGCCCTAAACCCTAAACCCTAAACCCTAAACCCTAAACCCTAAACCCTAACCCTAAACCCTAAACCCTAAACCCTAAACTCTAAACTCTCCACCCCAACCCCTGCTCAACGCCGAGCTCAGGTACGAGAGCTTTCCGCGATTCAACCTGCAGGCCTGGAGAAGTTTAGGGTTTAGGGTTTAGGGTCTAGGGTTTGGGGTTTAGGGTTTAGGGTTTGGGGTTTGGGGTTTTAGGGTTTAGGGTTTGGGGTTTTAGGGTTTAGGGCAGACGTGGATCCCTTTGGACAGCTCCTTCTTGCATGACATCCTTGTAATCACAGGGTTTAGAGGACATGTCGATCCTCAAGCCTACCCTGAACCCTAAAGCCTAAACCTTAAACCCTGAACCCTAAACCCTCAGCCCTGAAGCCGAACCCCCTTCGAAGGTGCCCAAGGCCTGCCCAAACGTGGATCCTAAGATGCTCATGCCGAACAAGACCTGGGCCAACCAGGCGGGTTAGGGTTTTGGGTTCAGGGGGTTTAGGGCTTAGGGTGTAAAGTTTGGGTGTGTGAGTTTCAGAGTTTGGGGGTTCGAGTTTAGGGGGTTTAGGGCTTAGGGTTTAGGGTTTAGGGGGTTTAGGGCTTCGGGTCTCCAAAGTTTGGGAGTGAGAGTTTGGGGGTTTTAGGGTTTCGGCGTTTCAGACCTGTGGCCTAAATTTTGGGGGTTCGAGGTTCGAGAGGTTTCGGTGTGTTAGGGTGTGTCAGGGGGGTGTTGCGAAGTGTTGTCTATGCGGTTTAGGGTATTAAGGGCTTTGGGTCGAGGGCGCAGGCTCGGAGGTGTTCTTTCAGAAATTCAAAGCGTGCAAGAGGCCAGATCCTTGGCTGAAATAGGATGGATGGAACACCAGGAAGCAGCCACCCCGCTACATGCTCGAGGTTTTGGATGGGTTTCAACTCATGCTCCATGTCCCTCCATAGCAAATCTCGTCCTTACTCTAGGAACGCCACATGTAAGCCCTAAGCCTTAAACCCTAAACCCTAAACCCTAAACCCTAAACCCTAAACCCTAAACCCTAAACCTTCATGTAGAAGCCCAGGATGAGTTCCAGAAGGCCTCTGAGAAGCTGGCGCAGCTCTTCAAGGCCCAGCTGGTTTAGGGTTTAGGGTTTAGGGTTTAGGGTTTAGGACTTCGGGTTTAGTTAGGGTTTAGGGTTTAGGGTTTAGGGTTTAGGGTTTAGGGTTTAGGGTTTAGGGTTTAGGGTTTAGGGTTTAGGGTTTAGGGTTTAGGCTTAGGGTTTAGGGTTTAGGGTTTAGGGCTTCAGGGTTTTGGGTTTTAGTCCGGGGCCCAACAGCCCGTAAACCTCCCAACCCCCCAAAACCTCAAGCCCCCCAAAACCCTAAACGCTAAACCCCCAACCCCCCCCCCCCCCCAACACCCTAAACTATAAGCGCTAAATCCCCTAGCCCCCCCAAAACCCCAAACCCTAAACCCTACACCCTAAACCCCAAACCCTAAACCCTAAACCCTACCAAACCCTAAACCCTAAACCCTAAACCCTAAACCCCAAACCCTAAACCCTAAACCCTAAACCCTAAACCCTAAACCCTAAACCCTAAACCCTAAGCCCTAAACCCTAAACCCTAAACCCTAAACCCTAGACCCTAAACCCTAAACCCTAAACCCGAAACCCTAAACCCTAAACCCTCCCAGGACAACTTCAAGAAGTTCGAGTCGGGCTGTTCTGCGGACATCCGCGCAGCGGCTCCGGAGTGAGGCCGGGAGAGTGGAGGTAGGGTTTAGGGTTTAGGGTTTAGGGTTTAGGGTTTGGGGTTTGGGGTTTAGGGTTTGGGGTTTAGGGTTTTTCCGGGCTCAGGGGGTTTAGGGTTTAGAGTTTAGGGTTTAGGGTTTTGGGGGGCTTGGACAAAGAGCTCTCGCACGGCGGTTTGAGGGTGCTGGGGTTGCTATGGGGGGGGTCCATGGCTCGGAAACCGGTCTTTTGGTCTTTTTTTGGTTGTTGTTTGGGGTTTAGGGTTTAGGGTTTAGGTTTTAGGGTTTAGGGTTTAGGGTTCTTGGGTGGCAGGCCGGACCGTGGACTCCGGTCAGTAGACGCTCTGAAACACCAAGCGCACACCCAAGCCCCCAACCCCGACCCAAACCCTGAGCCCCAAACCCTAAACCCCAAACCCTAAACCCTAAACCCTAAACCCTAAACCCTAAACCCTAAACCCTAAACCCCAAACCCTAAACCCTAAACCCTAAACTCCTCAAAAAAAATCAAGCACGGGGACCCTTGAACGGGACCAGGAGAACCTGTGCTGGCCCGGGGATGATCTGCAGCTGTGGCCTTAAGGGGGTTTGGGGGGGGGGTTTAGGGTCCAGGGTTTAGGGTTTAGAGTTTAGGGTTTAGGGTTTCGGGTTGTTTAGGCTTTTGTGTCGGATTCCAGGTGCCTACATTCAGGGCTTCCGCGTAACCGACAAGGATAGGTGCCGGGCCATCGGGTGTCGGAACCCAAACCCTAAACCCTTTTAGGGTTTAGGGTTTAGGGTTTAGGGTGCAAACTCCGCAAACCCGAAACCCCGGTTTAGGTTTGCGCTCAGGGTTTAGGATTTAGGGTTTAGGCTTCAAAGGGGCTTTTGCCGTTTGCTAACTCAAGGCGCGCAGTTCACCGCAGGGTTAGAACATGCTTTGGGCTCGGAGGCCGTAAGCCTAAAAGCCCCACACCCTGGCGCTCCGAATCGGCTTCTCCCCATGCTAGCCAGAAGCAAGGGGCGATTCACGAGATATCCAAAAGGACCCACAACTTGAGAAACACACACTAAACCCCAGAAACCCAAAGCACTATAAGTTTAGGGTTTAGGGTTCAGGGGCCAGGGTGTAGGGTTTAGGCCCTTGGACCCTTGATGTTTCTCTCGCATCTTACTTAGGCCAATTCCTGAACCCTGCATGTTGTGCTGGCATCTCGACCGCACTCAGGTGCTGCAGATCGTCTCGCTATTTCTTAGCAAATGTCCAATCCTAGGTGAGGGCTATTCTGAGTCAGGGTCCTCCAACAACACCAACAACAGCAGGAACGCCCTAAACCCGAAACCCGAAACGCCGCAACCCGAAACCCTAAACCCTAAACCCTAGAACCCTAGAACCCTCATTCGGAACAGCCTCTTGCCGCGTCTTTAGATGTGTCGTACGAGCATTTCTTGCTGGAGCTGCCCCCACTGCTGAAGTGCTGACCAGACAATTCCACGACGTGCGGGAGGCTTGGGCCCCTGCCCCTGTAGAACCGGGTTTAGGGTGTGGGGTTTAGGGTTTAGGGATTGGGGTTTAGGGTTTAGGGTTTAGGGTTTAGGGTTTAGGGTTTAGGGTTTAGGGTTTAGGGTTTAGGGTTTAGGGTTTAGGGTTGCAAAGAGCCTTCAACAGCAAACCCTGACATCCGCCAGCCCCTAGGCCCTAGGGCTTAGGGTCTGGGGTCAACATTACCAGAGAACTGCCCCCCGAAGCCCAAAGCAAGGACCCAAAGAAGTCCTCCTTCAGCCTTTTTATTGGGGTGTAGGGGTTAGGGTTTAGTGCTTAGGGTTTAGGGTTTAGGGTTTAGGTGTAGCGTTCTCAAATTCCGAAAGCCACAGGGTTTGGGCTCCCGAAATCGAACTGTCATGGGAAGCCATCGCGCTTGGAAGTCCGAGGAACCGGCAGCACAACCCTAAACCTTAAACCCTAAACCCTAAACCCTAAACCCTAAACTCAAAACCCTAAACCCTAAACCCTAGACCCTAGACCCTAGAACCCTAAACCTAGCGGGTTGGGCGTAAAGACGGGGCCCTCCGGCGCCGAAATCCCAAGCCATCTTCGTAGGGTTTAGGGTTTAGGGTTTAGGGTTTAGGGTTTAGGGTTGGGGGTAGTTTGTTCAGAGACTTCAAGTTTCGGGTTGTCGGGTTAAGGGACATGGTGGGATCGGGTGTAGTGGCAAACCCCAAACCCCAAGCCCCAAGCCCCAAACCCCAAACCCCAAACCCCAAACCCCAAACCCTAAACCCTAACCCCTAAACCCTAAACCCTAAACCCTAAACCCTAAACCCCTGAACCCTAAACCCTAAACCCTAAACCCGAAGCCCTACTCCCTAAGCTTGCTTATTAGGCGAACCCGCGATGATTTACATGGCTTATCTTTTTGGAGTGAAGCACAAGAAAAAGAGAATGAATGGGGGCTCGTCGTGGTACGGCTGAAGGCAGAACAGCAGACCAGACGCCACAGCAAACCGGCGCTTCGGTTACACTGGAAACCTCCAGACCCCGAACTTTAGAGCACCCCAAACCCTAAACCCAAACCCTAAACCTTAAACCCGAAGCCCTAGACCCTAAGACCTTCACCCTCAACCCCAAACCCTAAGCTTTCCAACCGGGTCTCGGGCAACTTTACGTCAGTTCGGGCGCATTTTTTCGGAGAGGGGGGGTTTGGTTCGGGGTTTCGGCTTTGTTTCTTTAGCTCTTTAGGGTTTAGGGTTTGGGGGTGGTGGTGCTGATATCAGCCCCTACACCCCAGGCTGACCCTAAGCCCGAAACCCTAAGCCTCAGCCGAAATCGCCGCCTGTGAGTTTGAGAGCAGTTTTTGAGCTTGAAGGGGACATGTTGACAGAGCCCCCCCATACCGCCTCGTGCTCTCATAGCCCCTAAACCCTAAAGACCAAAACTCTAAACCCTAAACCCGAAATCCTGAACCAATAGCCGCCACGTGCGCCACTCCTCATCGCACCCACGACGAATGAAGCCTTTAGAGATTTCAGCCGGAGAGCTCTACGACCCTGAGCCCTAAACCCTAATCCCTAAACCCTGAGCCCTAAACCCTACACCGTAAGCCCTAAATCCTAAACCCTAAACTCTAAACCCTAAACCCCGAACCCTGAGAGCACGACGCAGAAGGGGGATCGCTTGAATTTGACTTTGAAAATCGCCAAAGGGGGGATCCCAGTAAGCGGCTTCCCTCCAGTTTCCTCACCGGTTTAAAGGGCAGATTCCCGTCCCCAGCGGATGGCATTTGAAGGCCCAACAAGGATGTCAGACATGGATCGTGCGCAGGAGGCGAGCGAGAAACGCCCACCTTGGGGTTAAGGGTCAACGAAACCCCTGCACACCATTTTGTCTTGCAAGTCCACGGCGATCGGGTGGTAGACCCTACGCCCTAAACCCTAAACCCTCAACCCTCAACCCTAAGCCCCAAGCCTTCGCCTCTGAGCGCTTCCCGGCCCAAAGACCCTACCAGCTTCACCGCGCCGCTGCCCCCTTCCCCACTTGAGCTCTCAAACTTCGCGGCGGCCCTTCCCTCCAAAAGCATCCTCGTCTCCGAGATGGTCAAGGCTTTCGCAGCCGACGAGGAGCCAGGGGTTGGGAGTTTGGGTTTAGGGTTTAGGGTTTAGGGTTTAGGGTTTAGGGTTTAGGGTTTAGGGTTTAGGGTTTAGGGTTTAGGGTTTAGGGTTTAGGGCTTCTTTGCTGTTCTGATTGTTGGGAGGCATTACGATTGCCAGTATGAAGCAACAGGTCCGTTATGCTGGTGCTAGTGCGATCTGATCTTGACTTGTTAAAGGCTTCGGGCTTTACAGGGTTCTGCAGGGTTGAGGGAATAAACCCCCAAAGAGCCCAAGCTCCGAACCCTAAACCCTAAACCCTAAACCCTAAACCCTAAACCCTAGACCCTAAACCCGAAATCCTAAACCCTAAACCCTGAACCCCAAACCCCAAACCCCAAACCCCAAACCGCAGCAGGTGGTGTACGGCTCCGCGCCCCTGGGTCGAGGCCACTTGGTTTGGAATGCGCCCCGGCAGAAGCTTAGCTCGAGGAGCTTGGGGTTTAGAGGTTTGGGGTTTAGGGTTTAGGGTTTAGAGGTTTGGGGTTTGGGATGTTCCGCCTTATTCTAAGAGTCCTTACTAGGGATTATAGTAGGAGATACTATCATCCATACTAGCGACTATGTCCAAGTGGTAGAGTGCCGAGGTTAGGGTTTAGGTCTCATCTCTTAGCTCCAGGCTTCCTCTTAATCGAGGCAGGCGAGGGTGTTTGGCTGCCCTAAAACACGAAACCCGAAACCCCAAACCCTAAACCCCAATCCCTAAACCCCAAACCCTAAACCCTAAGCCCTAAAACCCTAAACCCTCAACCCCAAACCCTAAACCCCAAACCCTAAAACTCAGAATCTTCGGGTTTCTCGGGTGTCTGTAAACCAGGATCAGGCCAACGCCCTCACGTTCCTCCGAGCCGGCAGGCCGCTGGTTCTGGCCAGGGGGCCCGGCCGTTTTCTCGGGCAAAAGCCCTCGAAGGGTTTTAGGATTATTCGGGGTATTTAAGTCGATTTAGGGTATTTAGGGTATGTGGAGCGTTTGGGGTATTTAGGGTATTGAGGGTATTTACAGTAGGGCATTCTTGGGTATTAAGGGTATTTGGGGTATTTGTGGTATTTAGGGGTATTTGGGGGTATTTGGGGTATTTAGGGTATTGAGGGTATTGAGGGTATTTAGGGTATTTAGGTTTTCGGTGTTTTTAGGTTTTAGGGTTCTCGGCCCTAGAACCGAAGACCCTAAACCCTAAACCCTAAACCCTAAACCCTAAACCCTAAACCCTAGTTCCTTGTCAAGCCCCGAAGAGCGAAGCATCCTCAAGGCCCGTCAAACCCCAAGCAAAGAAACCCGAAGCCCTAAACTCTAAGCCCCAAACCCTCTCAACTCCAAGTCCTTTTGGTTTAGGGTTTAGGGTTTAGGGTTTAGGGTTTAGGGCTTAGGGTTTAGGGTT